AAACCTGAATGCTTGATTATGAGTTTGGGATCAACATATATATACTACTGTATATAAAACAGTAACCAACCAGGACCTACTGTACGGCACCCTGGACTATACTCAATATCTTATAATAAGCTATCATGGAAGAGAAGGTAAAAAAAGAATACATACACACATATATATAGGTACACACACACACATATAATTGAATCACCTTAGTGTTCATCTGAAACTAACACAACATTAAATCAATTATATTTGATAGGAATTAAACAAACAAACAAAGCTGAGTGCTTGAATGTGCAGACTGTCAGAAAACTATCACCCTCGTTTGTTCCTATGTTCTAGAAAGGGGAGCGCCTTAAACTTTCCAGCGCTCACCCCAAATCATGATATTTTTGACACAGAGCTTCTGGAAGGTAGATGAATCACAGAAAGGGCTGAGGAAATCTAAGGCAGTACTGACTGAACTTCCCTAAATACAACTTCCCAAGTTAAATATAAATTGATCGCTTTCTAAATTCAGTCACTTTTCCACCTGTTTAATATCTGGTAATTTCCAAGATGTTTTACTTTGTTTTCATATATATGATGACTTCAGCGGCTACTGAAACACAAGATTTACATATTTTATGTATGTATAGTATACACACTATATACAGTAAAATATAGATAATATATAATTTATCGTTTTAATGATTTTTAAGCATACAGTTTCGTGACATCAAGTAAATTCGAATTGTCGTGCAACTATCACCACCATCCATCTCCAGAATGGCTTCATCTTCTGAAGCAGAAACTCTGTACCTTTTAAACACTAACTCCCTATTCACCACTCCCTCCAGCCCCTGGCAGCTGCGCCTGGAATCTCCTCCTTCCCTAGGTACCTCATGTAAGTGGGATCCTACAGTATTTGTCCTCTGAGACTGGCTTAAGTCACTTAGCTTAATGTCCTAAGTGTCATCCATATTGGAGCGTGTGACAGGACTTCCTGCCTTTTAAGACTGGATGGATACCCCCACTGTGTGTAGTAATTTGTTTCATTTATCTGTTCATCTGTTGATAGACACTTGGGTGGCTGCTACCTTCTGGCTGCTGTGAATAATGCTACTATGAACATGGGTGTACCAATAAGGCATATATTTTTATGACCTCTGCCCATCAAGCATTATGTAAATTTTTCATGTGAATAATTGCATTTGAATTGATCTGTTTTGTAACTGTGTTATATAATAGATGTTCTTAAAGTGGGTCACACCTGTATTCTTTACTGTTCCACAACAGGAGGATGCAAAGAGCATCTACAAATGTCCGTTTCACACTGATGTGGGAAATCCCTGTGAGCATCTACAAATGTCCATTTCACACTGATGTGGGAAATCCCCGTGAGGAAATGAGTCACTAAGGGTGACCTGCACATGCAGACATCAAAACTCTCAGGTAACTCTCTCTGCTCTCCCGTCTTGGTCGAGGAGTGTGCCCTGAACCTCACCTTTTACAGGAATCCTCTCCTTCCCCACCCCTTCCTTGGGAGGCCCAGCACCCGCTTTCTTCAGTCCCTTCACTAGGCTGTTCTGACATAGGGCCGTGGATCTCTCAGCGACATTGGTAACCAAGAACCCTCTCTCTAAGGTTTTCTGCACTTTGATAAAAATAATGAAGTCTAAAAAGGACACGTGCACTTTCTTTGTACCCTGCACCCCCTCTGATCCAGAAAGATTGTCACCTTAGCATTCTCAGAGTCGCCTGCAACTGGGATAAGCGCAAAATGACAAAAGGGAAGAGGACAAGAAAAGAAGCATTCCCAGAGTTTGAAAGGACTCTGTTTTCATCTGCGAGGTAGGTTAAGAAATCTGAAAAGTAGGCTGGGACACCACAAAGAGTTGTATGCATTTCTGTCAGCGCTTCGCTGGTTGAAGTTTTCAGTGAGAGCAGAAAACAGGCAAAACGTATTGATTGGGCACCGATATGCCGGTGGTCATTCCCACTTAATTTCCATGATAACGCTGAGATAGGATCGGCATCCCTGCTTCACAAATGAGGAAGCGAAGCGGGGGCTGGGAGACATTCAGAACTTCCCCAAGGGCGTGGAATGTGGCAGTGAACTCCTGTGAGACTCCAGCGATGCTGCTTCCCTGGTCTGGCTCTGCTCCCAACCCCTCCAGTGAGGGCACGGCCCTCGTCTCCTGTGGAATGATTTCTAGAAAGGGCCCTTTGACAGCCTGTTTGTGTCTCTCTCTGTGGGTGCAGGGTTTGACAGAGACCAGCAAGGGACTCTCCCTTCCAAGGCCCAGCCATGCCTCCTCCTCTGGCTTAGAAGCCATTTTTGGAGCACAGAGGGAGTTCTAGATTTTCCTTCCTGTTTGTTGGATCCATCCTTTGCTTCCTTGTTACTGTGGGCCAGCAAAATTTCTACCTGCCTCAACCCGTCCTCTGCCCCTAATAATCATTGATAAACATTGCTTTACCATTTTCAAGGATAAAGAGTAGAAATGAAGGTATAGATAGCACACCAGGAACAACTTCCTGACTCTGAGGTTCTGGAATATATGGAAACTCAAGGAGACTCCTGTGGCCCCCTTTCCAGGAAAGCTGTAAGGAAAAGGGCCACCCTGCCCCTGCCCAGCCTGCTTGAACTGGGGACAGTTCTGCCTGGAACAGAGGGGAGGCACCCAATGATCTCCAGAGGGCCCTGCCACTCTGGGAAGCCTGAGTCTCTGGTACAGCCACCTGCTTGGCCACAGATGTTCCCTGTCATCAATCATTCAGGGCATCTGTTTGCTGTGCCACTTGTTTAAAGAGCGAGGCGTTTGCTAATTGAAAACTAAAAGATCCATCCGTCTCACTCAGAGCCAGCATGAAATCCACTCAGCCATGCAAGATCAGGGTGGAAAAGGCAGTACAGAGCTACCGCTAACGTATCTTTGGGTTGGCGCGATGACCCACAGAGGTCATCTCCTATTTCCTGAGCAAGCCTGGCTCCCCTCCCCACCTTGTAGCAGCCAGGGCCTGCCCATGTTGTCATTTCTCTAATACTTCCTCATCTATTATCCCCAGTGTACTCCAGAGAGAAAGGTATTTTTAGCCCCAATTTATAGATGGGGGATCTGAGGCTTAGAGAGATTAAACTATTTATCCAAGGTCACATAACGGGTAGGTGACAGAAGCAGGGCATCAATCCAGGTCTTCTGACTGGCCAGGAGAGGGGTGGCCTGTCCACTGTGTGGCTGTGGGCCTCAATTGATGCACAGGTGCTGAGCGGGAGGTACCAAGTGCTTCTTTAAGTGGATTTTAAACGTCACTTGGGAAGAGTGACATGAGGCTATGCAAGGCAGAACACTGAGATTTTAACTATGTCTGCAATGTTTTATTGCTTTAATAGCAGATATGGCAAAATGTTAGGATTCCTGATTGTTACAATATCTCCCCATCAAGCCGGCAGGCAGTTGGGAATGGTCCAGGTCCACGTATAGCACCAAAGGCATAGAGCAGGGGAAGAGACGTGTCACACCACTGACATTTCTTCCCTTTCCTCCAGTTGCCTCCAGAAATGACAGATGTGCTGATTTGAGCCCCCAGAGACAGGGGACTGATGCAGAGCTGGATCTCCGTGGCATCTGGAAGGAATTCCATTTCTCTGTACCTCAGTTCTCTCTTGCAGAGTGATGAGTGGGATTTAGATGAATGTTAATTTGTTTTTCCAATTCTAATTTTTGATAATTGTGTGTGTCACTGAAGGAAATGCTGAGTCAAATTTAACCTTTAGGGCCTAGAGCCTCAAAGTCTTGGAGGGGGTTGGTTGACTCCAGCCATGATGGACTGACTCCCTGATATATAAGTCTAATTCTCCATGCTATTCCCCCCTGCCTGGAACACTGCCTTCTTCCCCAAGGGAACTGGTATTTGCTTCTTCAATGCCTAGCTCCTGCCAGGCTTCCCTTTTTGTTTGTTCCATGGCACTGGTATAAGCTACAGGTATGTTGGCTTAACCTGGCAGGAGGTGAGAGCAGGAGCCTGGTTTCATTCCTCTTTGTGACCCTTGAATCTGACACAGAGCCTGGCAAAGGAAGGACAGTCAGTAACTACAGCTAACCCTTGAACAATGTGGGGACTAGGGGTGCTAACCCTCAAAAATCAGCGTTTAATGTACAGTCCACCCTCCTTACCCACCTTCTCCATGAGTGGTTTGAACCAACCCCAGATAATGTAGGTGGTTTAGTCGCTAAGTCATGACCGACTCTTGCAACCCCATGGACTGTAGCCCATCAGGCTCCTCTGTCCATGTAGTAGTGTATTATTTACTGTTGAAAAATATCTCATTTTTGACCTGTGATGTTCAAATTCCTGTTGTTCAAGGGCCAGTTCCTTGAAGTAAAGGGATGAGGGAAAGGTGGGGAGGCGGCTCCTCTGCAGGTAAAGACCAGCGGCAGAGGACCAGCAGCAGCGCAGTCCTCGCCACCATCTCCCTTCCTCTCACTCCAACCCCTTACTGCTTCTGGAATCAAAGGTGAGCTGGAATCTCTGGGCCTCTTGAATTTCCATGTCAAGTCAGCTCCAAGCAGGCTTTCCCCTGGAAATGAGGTAAGCAGCGGAACTTAGCACAGCTCTGACCAGAGCTAGCCGTCCTGGATCTCTCCATCTTCGACTCCCTGGATGGGAAGTGCCTCCCCCAACCCTTGTCCTCTGACTCCTCAAAGGAGGGAAGAGACAGGTGACGACAACACCCGTCCCCCCCGCCGGGCATTTACAGATTGCTACTTTGGGGGTGTGGTGGGACGGCCCAGTTCCTGCCTGGGATCCATCTGCCTCAAAGTCAAGGATGGCGGCAAGGCCCACCTGCTAGCGACTCGAGTGTTGCCGGCTCTGGAGGCTCGCTTACCAACGCGCAGGGGGCGGGACGGGGCGGGGCCTGCCCCAGGGGCGGGGCTCCAGGCGCCCCGTGGTCCAGGCGGCCCCGCCCCGCCCTCCCGCGCTCCCCGCGCTCTCCGCTGGAGCGCCGCGGAGCTGTCCAGCTTTGGCTGCCAGAGGGGCGGCCGCGCGTGGATGCGGCGGGAGCCGGAAGCCTCGAGCAGCCGGCGCCGTCTCTGCCCCTGGGCGCCCTATGGCTTGAAGGTAAGCGCCGACAGGGTGCAGGACAGGCGGCCCGGGCCCAGGCAGGGTCAGTGGGAGAGGAGGAGGGAGCTCGAAGGGCGGCGCGGCTGGGACCAGAAGTTTGTCCGGCCACTCTTGCGCTCGTCTGCCCGGGGACCGCCCTGCCCTGCTCTTCCCGGACTCCCCGTCGGGCCGCTTCCCCGGGGACGAAGGTGAACATCGGCGGCTGTCCTCTCTCCCACCCTCTGGGCATCCTTCGCACCGCCGGCGTGCGAATCCTCGCTCCGGACACGGGCGGGCAGTGCTATGCAGCCTCCGGCGGAGCGCCGAGAGCGAAACCCGCGGAGCCGGGGCTTCGCAGGGCGGCCGGCTCCCGGACCATCTCGGGAGGGCACTTTTCGCCCGGCACCCAAGCCGGGAGCCCCCCGTGCGCGCGGCCAGAGTTCCGATCGCCCTGGAGGGAAAAGGGTTGTTCTTGGCAACTCTACATTTGTGCGACCTGAGACTTTTCAGTTTCTAAGGACCGAAGCCAGGGGTGAGAGAGAGGCTGGTTCGAACTAATTGCTCTCACAGCTAATATGCCGCTGTCCTTGGTTCTGAATTTACGTTCTTGGCCGTCACTCCGTTTGCGATTCAGTGGAGGAAGGAGGTTGGGGTTTCAGACCCATCTCAACCCGGGAATGGGGGTGACGATAGGCGCAGAGGCAAAGGGTGATTCTCCTCCTTTGGAATGGACCAAAAGCCCTGGTAGGGCGGTGTACAAAGACAAGAGGCCGCTGCAAGCGCCAGACAGAGCGCGTGTGCATCCCTGGCTGCCGCCGGTAGCCTGTGAGCCGTTCCTCTTGAAGAGCAGAGGTAAGAGGGTGCCTGTGCGTCTACACAACAGGCTTCTCCATGGACACAAGTCACAGCACTGCGCCTCCGTAGGGACAGGTCCTTTCTCTCAGCCTCGGGGAAGCTATCTGAGTGAATGAGTCACACTGTTCGCCTACCTCACACCCCACTACTTTTTGTCCTGGGGGGTCCTGAGGTTGGTGAGGTGCAAGACAGTTTGTGGCTCCCTCTCTAGTTCCTTCTTCAGATCCAACCATTTCTGGATTTTGACCAGGCTATAAACCTTTCAGGCTAATTCTTACTCCTCCCCAGGACGACATCAACAGGGATTCTTACCCCATTGGATGCAAATGTTCTGCTTACCCTTGATTCATCCTGTGTCATTAGGACCACTTGAAAAATCATTTTTTTGTTTCATTTTTCTCCCTGTTGCTGCTATTTAATGAAGGTGGACAGAAAGAGAGGCTTGTGGTGAATGTGACCAATTGCAAGAGAATTAGTGAGCTGACTTGTTGTGTCCCAGTCCCCTGCCTTTGACTTGTCTGCTTAGTATTCAGGATTCCTGGCATATTTGACTGGGAGGGGGCTGCTGATGCCTTCTCTGAAATCAGACATCTGGTGGGGAAGACATTTGAGAGGGTTAGACTGAGAGCCAAGTGAGGGCCACCATGGTTCTAGCCTTGGTCTCTTGAAGAACATTCTGAATTCCTTCCGTCTTACCTGTACATCCTGGGGGGAGGAATGTGCCTAGAACATGGGAGATTCTGAATTATTATAGAGGTCTGGGACAGCATTTCTCTAAGGGCTGGGTTTTGTTTTAATAAACTCTCTGTATCTGAATCACCAGAGAAGCTAGTTTAAAATGCATGATTTTGTTTCTTGTCTGAAGAACAGCTGAATGATAGTCTCAAGCTGAGGCCCAGAAATATATATTTTAACAATATTTCTGGGTGATTCATATGTACACTGGGTTAAGAAATCATCTCTCATACAAGTTATTACTTCCTTAACTAGAGAGAACATGATTAAGGTCTTGAGTCAACCCCCTTGCCTTCTGCAGTTACACGTGTTAAATTCTTTGGATGTGGGCTTGTGGATGAACCATCCTCCTGGTCCGGTCTCTTTGCTGTGATAGAGGTTGCAGCCCAGTCTCCTCCCACAGGATCTGCCTGGGCTTCCCTTTTTTTCTGAAACAGATTTTTGGTCTCTTTAAGAACCACCAATATGGGTTTACATTGACCTGTGTAAATACTAAGTCTCCTCTGGGGGCCAGCCCAGTGTGTTTTCCCTCCCCTCCCCTTGTAGGGGAATCATCCTCGTTCAGTATGTTTATGCCGTGATCTGCTAACCCAACTGCTGCTGAAATGCCAAGAAGTGATTAGTTCAGCTTAGCAGCACACCATGTTCCCCAAGGCTGGTAGCCATGTGTGCCCTATTGGCAGTGACATATTGACTGTATCGATTTGGTTCTTGTGCTCTATAAAAGCTGGGAAGCTTGTAGCAGTGAATAAGGCCAGTGATAAGGCTTGTGGGCTAGTCAGTTTTTTTCCTTCACCTGCAAGGTTGAATTATTTCCGTCTAGAATGTGCAGTGATATAGGAGAATCTGAACTTGAGAGAAAGCCTGTGTTTTCCTCCCACCAGTGGAAACAAAGGGAGCTCAGGATCTCATAAAAATTTGGCCTCACACATACCTGGGGCTGACCTGCTGAAGCTAGACTGGTCTGAGACCCCGCTTCTCTGTTTAAACATGTATCGGGGAAAGGCCTGTGGACTCGGTCTGCAAGGAGCTGTCTCCATCTTCCTTGCACGTGGAAGTTGTATTTCAGTGTTGAGGAAGAAGCTATGAAGATAGCACAGGTGACGTGTGTGTGGTGAAGGTAGGGGGCAGAGCGTGATGAGACTTTCTTGAGTCAATCCTTCCCCTTCCAGTGACTCATACGTTCTGACCTGCCACCCCTCATTTTGCCCTCCCATGTGGTGTAATACCCATGAATCTCCAACAGTGAAGGTTGAGGAAGGGAGAGGAGAATCAAAGTTGATTTATAATGCTGGGACCCCAAGCCATATCTCCAGCATCTCCCAGAATCAGATTGTGTATCACAGGTCACATCAACCTAAGATATGAGGGCTTGAAAAGAACAGGATGACTGCCCAGTCAGTTCCATTTCCCCTCAGACATAGTTATCAGGACTTTAAAATTCTTAGATTATTTGGACTTCCTCAGAAATCATTCTGGATGTTCCTGACTCCAAATACGGCAGTTTTTCCTTTAGTCCAGAAATATGGTTTCTGTCTCCTGTTGGGAAATTTCTCCAAAAATTGAGTGGTGCAGACTTATAGAAAGAACTTATGGTTGCCAGAAGGAAGGGATAGTTATGGAATTTGGGATGGACATGTATACACTGCTGTATTTAAAATAGATAACCAACAAAGAGCTAATGTATAGCACAGGGAACTCTGCTCAATGTTATGTGACAGCCTGGATGGGAGGGGAATTTGGGGGGGGAATGGATGCATGTATATTTGTGGCTGAGTCTCTTCAGCTGTCCACCTGAAACTGAAGCTATTGAAACATTGTTAATCAGCTACAGCCCAATACAAAATTAAAAGTTTAAAAAAATAAAAGAGTAGGAGTTCAACTTAAAAAATTAATAAATTTCTGTAAATAAATTTCTTAAAAAAAAAAAAAAAGAGTGGTGGAAACTTTGCAGTTCCAGTGCACCAGGATTGAACTTGGCAATCAAAGCTCCTCGTCTTATCAAGAGCCCTGCTAGCAGGAGAGCATCCTGCATCTAGGAAGTACTTGGAAACTACAGGCAGCAGAAAGGGTTCAGCTTCCCAGTGGGCGTCCTTCTCTGTGTGTGGCCTCTCACTTAGATGACCCCCAGTGTCATAGTTCCTTCCTTTCGCCCCCCAGTAGGGCCTCTTACGCCCTGGGAAGACTCCAGCATTTGCTTTGGGATTCTGTATGAGCTCTCCAGGTTACTACATAGAGCCACTAAGCAAGTTACTTATTTACCAATTCTGGGTGTTAGACTGATATTATCTCCAGCCTATTTAATTATTGCAGCAGTGTTGGAATCCGATGTTAATATACCGCTGCCTCTAACCTGTCCCTGTCACCAGTGTAATGGAAGATTTCTTTCTTGTTTTTTTTTTTAAAAACAATAGAATCATATTATCTAAATGCATAGGCTTGGGAAATAGCTTGATTATAGTGTCAGTACATGTGGGTGGAGGAGTAAAACTCCTCGATTGAGCCACTTGGTTTGTTCCCATTTGGGTCCAGAGAAAGGAGAGAAATTTGCCCTTCTGGTCTTGTACATTTCCCCTCTTCTTCTCCCTTTCACATCAATCTGATGAATGAGGTAAATCAACACCCTTAGCAGGTGGGAAGCCCCCTGGAAGGGTGCAACCTCCTTTCTCCCTAGGAGACCTGGAACGTGTCTCTGGAGGAGCAGAGGCCCCTGCTGGCTTTAGCGAACAGAAAGGAGCCAGAGACAATGCCCTCGGGCCTGGGGACTCCCCCCTCCCTGGGGTGGAAAAGGCTGTGCCCACGGAGGGTCCCAAACTCAGAGCCCTGGAAGCCGTGGGGTCCTCTGAGAGTGTGGAGCCAGCGTCATGGATGTGGGAGCTGAGGAAAGTGAATTCTTGAGGGCCCTTGGAAGCAGTTGATGTTCAATATGCATGTGTAAGGCATCAGTGTGGCGCAGATGGGTGATTTGTCATAATCTGATGGCACCTGTGAGGATTTGCACTTTTTCCAGGGACAGACAGGGGAAATTCTTTACTGTTTCCAATGATGGCGGGATGGGGGGAGGGGGGAGAAGGGAGGACCCCTGGCTTTCCCTGGAGCCCTCTGAGTGATGTCATTGTGTTCCCAGACAGAGGATGATGGTTAAGTGAAGTCAGACAGATTCGGCCCCGAGGGGCCTTGTCGATAAGCCTGCAGTCAGCCCGGGCAGACCCAGCTTCCAGGGCACTGAGGCTCAGCACCCAGAATGGCAGCCACAGTCCCCAAGGACATCCCCCTGCAGATGTCTGGGAGCCAAAGTGAGTCGTGGGGCCCGTGCCTTTGTCACTGGGCTCCTTCAGAACGTGCCTCATTTGCACCCCCACCTTGTTGTTATTGTTCAGAGTCTAAGTGGCCCAGCAGGGGAAAGGCATTAGAAATGAAATTATTTT